CTCGGAAAAGATCAGAATTATAAATACTTACGCTGCATGAGTGATGGTAAGCAAATCGTAGCTCATTGCCAACGAAACGTATGCGTAGTTCACAAACGCATAGGTAATCAAAAATGGCATAGTTGATAGAATAGCGAGCTGGTTAAGATCTCCGAGCAGCACAAACACTGACGCTACAGCCATCAACACGATTCCAGCTAGTACGGGATTTTTGTTCGGTCCGGACTGGAAAAGATTTCACTAAGCGATGAGAAAAAACTTGGAAAAAATAATTGGGAACTTACGCCTTGCGCTAATGGATTCAGGAGCGGTATAATCCCTTCGGCAGCGATTCCTTGGAGCACACGAGGAGTGCCAAGAAGTGCTCCAATCGTGGACGAAAGCGAACAGATGTAAAGACCAATCATGAACAGAAATCCGGTCAATGCTACCTGAAAAATTTGAATTGTCACAAATGTCCGGAACGACTCTCGCAGACCTAAAATGAGCCCGGAAATTTGGCAAAAAGTTCTTACAATTCTAAATGTTTGCGAATCTAATTGTCCAGTTTTCATCGAGTACTAAAAATGCGTACCTTTTCGGAAATAAGGCTATCGCAGATCAGGCTTAGTCGATCACCAGTTGCTCCAAGGATCATAATGAACAAGAAACAGACGCTCGAACTGTAACAGAATTTGCATATGTTTGGATAGCTTCTAACTTTTATCATAATATCTTTGTCATAACTTATTTTTTCCATTCAGCAATTCGAGAAATAGCGCAAAAAATGTGGGATAGAACGCTTTAGGTTTGAATGTTTGGGGACCAATTCTCGCAGCTACCCATTCTCATATAACTAGTAAAACGCACCTCACTGCGACAGCTGATAGCTCTCCCAGAGGAATGCTCTTATGAGGATCCTTCAAATCTCCGCTCATATTCACTCCTAAATAACATTATTTGAGCCTATATAGGCCCGAAAGGCAGAACTATGTTTCATACCTGCCAAGATACCAAGGAAGTTGGCAAAGAAAACACCAAAAACCGTGAAAAACGA